AAAAATTCTACGTAGTCTAGGTGAGACAATGCCAGTAGCTCAGCATGGCTGCAAGCAGGGATGTTTGCGCTGTGGAGCCGGCATTGTCACCTGCCGGGTAAACAGATAGGGGAATTTCAAGCTTTTTGAGGGTTTTCGGGGGAGGAGGAGCAGACATCAGTTGAGCTGGTGTCAGAGCAGCTGAGCTGGTTGCTAGAATGACGACTGGGGGGATATCCTGGGGTATGTCTAGACTGCATCCCTCTGCCGGCAGAGGGATGCAAATTAGGCAGGTTGACATTGCAAATGAGACAGGGATTTAAATATCCCATGCCTAATTTGCATAATATGGCTGCTGCGTTTTGCCGGCTCAGCACTTTGTTGGCAAAAAGCGGCAGTCTAGAGGGAGATCTGTGGAGAAAGAAAGCCTTTTTCAACAGATCCCTTATGCCTCCTGCAAGGAGGTTTACAGGATCTGCCGAAAAAGGCTTTCTTTCTCAACACTCTGCTCTAGACTGCCGCTTTTTGCCGACAAAGTGCTGAGTCAGCAAAACGCGGTGGCCATTTTTATGCAAATTAGGCATGGGATATTTAAATCCCTGTCTCATTTGCAATGTCAACCTGCCTAATTTGCATCCCTCTGCCGGCAGAGGGGATGCAGTCTAGACATACCCCTGGAGAGCAGTGATTCTTAACCGCTGGTCCGTGGCCTCTGGCGGCTGGACCACAGAGGCTCTGGGGACCAGAGCTGGGATCTGCTCCTGCTGCGACTGTTGGGAGAGGCATGTCCTACCCCACCTCTCTGCCATCCTGCCTGCCTGGCACGGGGTCTCCTCCCAGCCGGGGATGAGCACTTTGCTGCACAGTGGGAGGGTTGCGTAGAGCAGCCGTGACCCAGGCAGCGGGGCACGGCTGGGAGGCAACGCAGGGCTAGGTGAGAGGGGTGAGGCAGGTACTGGGGGGGGCTCTGGAGGTGAGGCTAGTGCTGGGGGGACTTCTGGGGGCAGGGCTAGTACTAGGGAGCTCCAAGAGGTGGGGAACTCTGAGGCAGGATGCTGACAGTAGGAGGCACTGGGACATCTGGGGTAGGGAGCTGGCACTAGGGGGCTATGGGAACAGGGCTAGTAGTGGTGGAGTTTATGGGGGACTCTGGGGAACAGGGCTCACACTGAGCAGTGAGGACTCTCACGGGGGTGCTCTTGGTAGTTTGGGTGCAGTGGGGTCCTGGAAACAGGAGGCTGGCACTGGAGTGTGGAAGTGGTGGGCTCTAAAGGGTGAAGGGCTGGCACTGAGGCGTTTGGGGTGAGGGACTGGCACTGGGGAGCTCTGAGGGTGGCAGGCTGGCACTGGGGGGTTGGGTGCAGGTGACTGGGGTCAGTGGCTGGGGGAGTCTAGGGGTCAAGGTTGGGACTGGGGCGCTTTGGGGGCCGGGGCATTTGATGGACCAGTAACAAATAATGCATAATGAATATGCAAATGAATAAATAAAATGTTACCGGTCTGCCAAAAGTTTGTGAATGGGTTTTCCAGTAGGGAACCACTACTGTAGAGGCTAAAAGCTTTGTATACAGCGACTGCAAAAGCATCACCAGCAAGAACTGTATACCTGGGAGGTGTTCTTTTGCAGTGAAACGTCTGTTGCACCACAAAAAGTCCTTGGCAAGAGTAGGTGCTCCTGTGGAAAAAGGGACTTCGCCACTTTAAATGGCAAGTTTAGACATGCCTTCAGCTTCAATAATTTTTTATGACTCAAAGGATATTAATGAGTTGCATAGGTTTTTTTTAAAGAAAAAAATTCCTTGAATGTCTTGAATTTCTCTTTTTGCCATCCTCAAAAGTGACTATTCGTGTTCTTTGCCTTGAATGCTTCTTGCAATAATACTGGCAGCTGATAAATTCCCTGTGAAAGAGATGACAAAGGAATACGTTGAAGTGAGATTCTAGAGGGGTAAAGAAGTAGTTAGAATTGCTCATGTATAGAACATACCTTTTTAGCTGGGAGTGGCATTCCATCTCATTTATTATGGCTGGGAGAGGCAGAAACCTATTTTTCAATCTTTTGGCCTTGGTACAGGGTAGAGAGGCAGAGTAGTGAACAAATGAAGTGTGCTTTCAAACACTGTTGTGACACAGCTAAAGCAATTGTGTGTGTATGGAAAGGTTGCAGAAACAGCAAGAACATATTTTGCACTAAAAGACAGCTGTTCACTTCTGCACTTCTGGTGATTGCCTCTTATTTCCAGACACATATTCCAGTGAGTATTTAAAAAAAAGAAAAAGAAGAAATATAAGTGCTGTTTGTATAGATCAGACGATGGTTGGGATAGGACTTGCACAAACACCATAGCAAAGAGACAGACAGCCCCTACCCCAACGAGCTTAATGTCTAAGGTGATACAACCAATGAGTATGACATACATATGGGGTAGCATGAGATAACGATGAGACTCAAGTGGTCAGCATGAAAGGCACTGGTCACACGTTGCTGTGAACTTTCAAAATCCCTCTCCCCCACAGTGACTGGGTTTTGTGGGGGAGTTTCTTTTGCACAGCTCTCATCAGCAGCTGACTTCAGGGTGGCACGGGTGAGTATGGTGACGTATGGCTGCTGTTACATGCCGGTGTCATCTTCATCAGTCACAGGGGAGTAGGGTGGCAGGAGAGCAACCTTCACGGAGCTGCTTCTCACCTTCCTGCATGGGTGGTTGGTAGAACTTTGGCTCTGTCTCTCCCAATGCCCTTGTCAGCACAGGTGGTCTGGGTGCACGTTGCTGCTTTGCTACTAGAACAAGGAGCCAGGCTGGAGCTCTGATGCATGCTGATTTGTGATTCCTGACCTGCTACAGGTTGCATCTTACTTTGCACTTGCTGTACAACCAGTGTGGGGGAAGTCTAGGGAGCAGGAAGTGGCACGGTCTGTTCATAGAGTAAGTGGAAAGTAACTGTGAACCAGATTTCTAGAGGTACTTGGGCACATAAAAATGTACACGAGTACCTAGCAGGATTTTCCAAAGCACCTTGGTGCAGCGTGAGTTAGGCATTTCTGAAAATCCCACTAGGCACTTATCTGCATATGTAGGTAGCTTTAAACATCGAGGGATACGTGACTTAGTCACAGAGAATGAAATTTTTCTTCTGTGGGCAGAGCCAGCTCAGATCCTATGCACCATTGATATACAATATAAGCCTTCCAAACAGCAGACTGCAATAGGATGGCTACCTTAGAGAAATTCTGGATGTTCCCTTCAACAATGCCACAGTCTGAATGATAATTTCAAGGCTTTGGTACTATCTCTTAGCTAAAGAGATGGTGCCAATTAATCCCCCCCCCCCACACACACACACATAGATCAGATTTTTTTTTTAAAACAAAGTCAGTCTATATTTAGACCTTCCCAATGCAACACAGAATTTTATAAGAGGCCTGTAATCTTGGCAGAATGGCTTCAAACTAGATAGTTATAGTCAAATATCATGGGAGTTAAAGGTGCTAATGCAGAGAGAGGCTAAAAAAGTGTTAATCGGTATCCTGCATATTGTATTTTCTTGTTCTTTTTCTGCTTTTCCTTCCCACTCTGGGATTTTTACCCAAAGCTGAATAGTTATCTTAGGATAATTATAGCTTGGGCAGACACAGGAAGCAAAAGTGCAATGGATAAATTATATTTCATTCCCATGAGTAGCAACTTCTGAAGGGTATCACGAAGGACAAATTTACTGTCCATAATTTGCCATTGTTTAACTCACTCGTACGTTTCCTCTGTGCTCCTTGCTACACGAGTGCATGGCCGTGCTTTGAGTTGTACACAAAGAAACGGTTCTAAATTACCCATTTCCTCATGGGTTGGAAAAACTGCATTGAGCCTCGCCTCACTCTAGGGTTGGACAGCAAGGGGAGAACACAAGCTTTTGAAGAACGCTGCTAAACCTGGAGCTGTCTGGCACTTGCTGCTCAGTGGTACAGGGAGGTGTATGCATAGCATACTGGTTTTGCCTTAGGGCAGCACCATAAGATATTTGCCTCATGCAGTTCTGTTAAAAGAACCAAATGATTTATATACAACAAAGTAGCAACCACACAACAAAAAGAGAAGAAAACTATATAAAGCTACTTGCCCACTTTTGGGCAGGGGGTGTTTTATTAGTGGAACAGAGACTGAATTGAGTTGGAAATCCTTTTAATAGTCTACATTGGCCTTGGTTATAAAGCCTCTGGCATTTAAGGGAGTACGAATCCTGCATGGGCTATCCATGTTGCCAGAGACGGCAGGGTGGAAAGCAACAATCAGCCTCTTGTATATGGAGAATAGGTAGGCAAGGGCAGACACTGGCAGAGCCAGAGTTCAGCATAGGCTTGCCAGATACCTTCACAAAAAATTCTGAACATGGCGGTGGAAAAAATTGGTTGACCAACCAAACTTGTTAAGCAAAAAATAAAACAAACCCTGGAGACTTGTTGAGCAAAACAACGAAAAAAGGACACTGTGCCTTTAAATTCTTGCCTGCTCCCCCCGCACCAGCCAGATACGGTAGGGGAAAAATGGTCCCCCACCGGCCTTTTGTCCAAGAGAAACAGAAAATACCGGGTATTTTCAGGTTTTTGTTTTTTTTTACTGGACAGAAGACACAATTTCTGGATTGTCCGGGCAGCATAGTCAGTAAGCTGTGGAGAGATGAAAGAAAGCACATAAGCCTATTCTTAAACCCATTCCTACTTGGGGAAACATTTAAGCATATGCTGAAGTTCCAGTGATGTCACAGGTTCTTAAGCAGAAGTGGGTTTAAGCATGCGCTTCAATGCTTTACTGAATGGAGGCCGTAATGGCAAACTTGCCACTGCAGTGATCTGTGATCACACAAGTGCTATCATGTGCCTAGGGCTATTACTTTCTTACTGGAATAGATAGAAGAGATGGCTGGGGGAAAAGCACTTATACACTATTTTAATATTCAAAAAGAGGGGAAATCTGGCAATAAAATATGTAAGATGAGAAAATCAACACCATGAGATAGCTGCGTGGTCACATTGTTTAATACACTACTGGGAGGCACTCAGATACTGCAGTAGTCATGAGCATGGGATAAGAGCCAACATAAATAAACAAGCTTTCCTCGGATGCCTTAATCCTAGAAATCCTCTTTAGATGATGGTCGTCATTGTGACTCTTCTTTCTTCCTGATAACTACTAACACCGAGAATTAAAAATCCTGCAATGATGAGTGCAGTAATAACAAATGTTCCACAGATCCCATGATGACTGGTGATCATTGCCATTTGAACCTATTGATTAAAGTGTGACACATTTATCCCTCTAAATTCTCTACAGTTTTATAATACGCTCAGATTAAATCATAGCAAAAGCATATTTTGACCTTTCCCCTTGAAGATCTAACCATTGGAATGATAGAAAATTGGTCAACACGGTACCCCTGGAATTGCCTCTGAAACAAATAATTATGGAAGTTGCTAGCACTCTTTATATGCAAGAAATAAGCTTGCTGCAGAAAGGAGCATGTGAATTATGAGCATGAACCCGGGAATTAACACCTAGACTTGTTTGCATATAAGGGATTATCTGACTTTGCCAATTCTGAATATGAAGTGCCCAGTGGAGTCAATGTGAGTTCATCTGAACAGATCAGACTCCCATACATTATTTCGTACTACTATTCTGACAGCAGTGTAGATTTCTCTAAAATTATTTTTAACCAGGAGATGGTTCAAAGCAAGTAATTTTATGCAAACCTTTTAAGTAATATCTTGTTATTAAATTTCAAAAAGAACTCATAGGATGATGGAACAAAGGGATAAATGTGGAGCTAATTATTCCACTGAGCATCTAACAGTAATGCTATATTATCATCATACTTTTGTAGAAGCTGATTAAATTACTTTCAGAATCTTATTTGATACTGACTGTTTAGGGGTTTTTTTTCTTTCTTCCCTGCTGCAAAATAATCCTGGTTAGTTGGAAATCAAGCTTTGTAATTTAGAAAACAAGAAAAGCCTTTTATGGGAGGGTATAATTCAGTTTGTTCCAGTTTTCAAGCTGTACCTCAGGCAATTAGTCATAGATCTCCAAAAGAGTAAATCCATTTTCAAGTACCTTGAAATATTTAGAACACTTGTAGAATGTGCTGACAATACAGTAGTTTGTGCTGGTGTCCTTGGATAGTTTGAAATAGAAATGTGTATCCCCAAGCAAATGAGCTCTGTTGAAAACAAAAGAATAGTTTGAAAAATAAGTGCAGATAAAGTTTTTATGAGGAAAGCTCAGATTTAAGAGAATGACCAAGAGTCTGCTCACAGTCTCAAAATGTAGAGTGGGGCTACTCAACACGTGGCCCGTGGGCCACATGCAGCCCACGGCCCATTTGTTTGTGGCCCGTGGTGCAGTTTGGATTTAAGCAGGGCTCAACACGCAGTCTGTAGGTGGGATCCTTTGAACATGGCCTCCACTGGGAACACGGTCCACAACGGCGAGGCGGGGTGAGTATCGAAAGACACAAGGAGACGTACTGGCTGGAACAGACGGGTACAGGGTGTTGGCATGTCTAACCCCCAAGGAGGTGCCGAGAGCACTGGGACATTGTGGGAAGTGGTTTGTATTCATGCCCATCTGTGTGAAAGAAGCTGTTTGCATATATGTGCATGTATATGCAACCACACTTAAGTTGCAGCCCTCAGCATGTGCTGTAAGTATCATTGTGGCCCCCAGGGCTTCCAAAGTTGAGTAGCCCTGATGTAGAGGATGGGAAGCCAGGTTATGACTGCACCAACTTGCTGCAGTCCATGTCCCATGTGGGTAGTGCTCCAGCTGCTCTCCAGAACTTTCAGTGTGCTGTAGCAGTGTCCACGTGGGACGCCATGACTCCCAAATCTTTTGAGGGTCTCTGCTTCCCAGGATTGAATTTTCCACCCTGTTAGTATTCTGTAGTACGACATGACTTGACCGTATTGATGTGCCTATTATTTGCTTGTGCCCACCTTACCACACAATGCAGAGATCACTCTGTATCTATGACCAGTCCAATGTGTTACTTGTCACTCCTCCAGTCTTTGTGTTACCAGTAAACTATCAATAATGATTTTGTTTTTTTCCAAGTCATTGATAAAAAATGTTAACTAGTGCCAGAGGATATATGAGGATCAGTTCTTTAGCAGGGTTCAAAAAAGAACTAGACAAAATCATGGAGGTTAAATCCATCAATGGCTTTTAGCCAACGCGGGCAGGAATGGTGTCCCTACCCGCTGTTTGTCAGAAGTTGGAAATGGGTGACAGGGGAGGGATCACTTGATTCCCTGTTCTGTTCATTCCCTCTGGGGCACCTGGCATTGGCTACTGTCAGAAGACAGGACACTGGGCTAAATGGACTTTTGGCCTGACCCAGTGTGGCCGTTCTTATGTTCTTAGAATAGGACCCACTAGAAACATACCTGCTCGATTATGAATCCCCATTTATAACTACATTTTTGAGGCCTATGAGTTTCCTAGTGTTTAATTTAGTTAATACATTGATTTTGTATCATTCTAGTTTACTAATTAAGATGTTATGTAGTTTGACAAGATCTATTTTCTATAAACCCACACTGATGGCATAAGGTATTAGTCTTGTTTCATTCTTTAACATATCAGTGTGCCATTATTTTGCCCTGAATTATTGATAGGCTGACAGACCTGTAATTATCTGAGCCATCCCATGTACCCTTTCAAAAATACTGGCACCACATTAGCTTCCTTCCACTGGCACCTCCAGCATGTTCCCTGCCTTACTGAAAATCAATTTCAATAGTTGCAAGAAGCCTCCAAAATGACCTGAAGAGCTGGCTGGAAATTTTCTGAGTGGACTTTTTCCATTCGAAAATGCCAGTTTGTCATATTTTTACAGAAACGTGCAGTGTTTGTCTAAAGTTTGTTGTTTGGATAGAAAAGTTGGAGGAGGAGGGAAGCATTTCAATAAGGTTAAAAAAAAAACAGTTTTTCCTTTGAACACAATTTTTCATTTCAATTTTTAAAAATGTTATTATACAATATACTAGAGTCACAACTGGAAGGAAGCACCTTGGATTTTATACAAATGAAACATTTCAATCCACCCAAAACTAAAATGAAGTGTCATTTAGTGGGCATCATCCTTTTTGCTTTTGTTCCATTTCAGAATGGGTTTCTCCCCCCTAACTCATGGCATCCCCCCCTCAAAATGAAAAAGCCAGCTCTTAGCCTTCTCTCATGATCTATTTTTATAAGAGGCTTGGGGTCAAAACCCATTGCCTTCCATTAGTAACTCCCATTTGGTAATCTCAGAACCTTTAGGCTACGTCTACCTTGCGCATTCTTGTGTAAGAAGATATGCAAATGAGGCGTGGCAATTAATATGACTGTGCCTCATTTGCATACCTAATGAGCCGCCATTATGTACAAGGAGCAGTCTACACTGCTCCTTCTTTCACAAAAACCCCCTCTTGCGCAAGAGCCGTTCTGCCGCTTATTTTCAGGTAGAACAGCTCTTGCACAAGAGGGGGGTTTTGCACAAGAAGGAGCAGTGTAGACTGCTCCTTCTTGCGCAAAAGCCCCTTGCCCAAAAATGGTGAACAATTAGGTATGCAATTGAGGTGCGGCGATAGTCATCGCCACACCTCATTTGCTTATCTTCTTGCCCAAGAATGCGCAATGTAGACGTAGCCTACATGGTTTTTTTGACACTTTCTCATATGTCCCTCAATAGCTTCCTTTCCATGAAGATACAGTACTGTGTCAGTGGCCGGACATATCTCTGTATAGTAATATTTCAAGTTGCAACCCTAACTTTTACCTCTTCAGTACTATCCACAGGCTATAGACTTTGAGACTAACTTATTTGTCTGATGTGAAAGCACAGGTCCCATTGAGAAAAATGGCATTATATACACCTTACTGAGGTAGCATCAGGCTCCAGATTCATATCAATATCTCGGTAATAGTTTCCTTGGTTACACATCTTTAACATATCTGCTCCTTTTGTTCAGAGCATTTTCACAGTGGTGTGTGTTTGGGGCCCGAGCTGATGCCAGTAAGTCAATGAAAAGATACCCACTGACTTCAAGGGGCTTCTGATTGACAATAAAACTATTTACTTTAAAATATTATTGATATCGAGATACTAACATGGGTGTGCTATTACAAAGACTCAGACTAGGATTTCCAAAGCAATCTAAAGGAATAAGTTCCTTAGAAAAAAAACTTAGCCTAGATTCCTAAACAACTAGGTTATTTTCATGTCAATACATTCATTAATAAGTTTTTATATTAACTACAGAAAAAATTCTTAGGACTTCTAAAGTACCTGGTTTGCTAGCTTTTCCTGACGGAGAAGGAGATTCTGAAATTCCTCACAGTCCCCTCGCACGCCAGAGCCTTGGGGGCCCAGGCTAGCAGATTTTGTGTGCTCCAGCCCCTCAGAGGGGGAGAGTGGAGCACCAGCACGGACTCCCCAATGCTGGGGGTGGGGAGTTCTGAGCTTCAGAGCCCAGTTCCAGGCAAGCTGGGGGCTGCATTCTGCCCATGGACCTAAAGTTCCCCACCTCTGCCTTAATGGGACGGCATGTGACACTAGGGTTGCCAGGTGTCTGGTATTGACCCGGAGAGTCCGGTATTTTCGCCTCCTGTCCGGTGAAAAAAAAATTCAGAAAATACCGGACACCTAAAATGTCTGGTATTTTCTGATTTCCCCCCCCTTGCCAGGAGACAAAAATACCAGACACCTTGCAACCCTCTGACACATTCAGCAACTGGGCACAGTCCCCGGAGCCCCCTCCCCGCTTACCTGGTTCCGCAGGGGAGCTGTCTTGTGGCTGGAGCAGAAAAACAAGATGGCTGCCAGCATAAAAGCCTCTTCTTAAAGGGCCATGCTGTTTTTTAAATTTTGTAATTTAATATTTTTTTTTTTTTGCTTAACAGAAAAAAAGTCTCCCCTTTTTTTTCTCAACAGAATTTTTTCCCTTTTTTTGGGGAGGGGGATGCTTGGTATTTTTGGTTAAACCATCTGGCAATCCTACTTGACACTCAAGCAATAAAATTCCCAGCCTATAATGTTAAAGTGGGTGTGAAATTTGACTCAACAGCTCTTCTCCTTAGGGGTAACTATCCATTTCATTAACATTTCAAGTTGACAATTTTCACATTTTCATGAACCTCAGTTAAAGAACCCCTTGGTGTTCATATTCCAGAAAGTAGTTTTAGGTAGCAGGATGATTCTTTTTTGTATTGTGGTAGTGCTTACAGGCAACATTTGAAATCCAGTTCCAAGGTATCATTTATATTTTGCTTGTTGGTGGAGGGGAGAGAATCCCCTTATGGCCTTCTCTAATTTTAAGAGATCTGCATGTTTGTATTCTTAAGGTAGAGATGGAATGGGTTAGCTGCTATAAGCCCCAATATGGAATCCTGTCATGTATATAGATCGCATCCACTTTAGTCAGACTTTTTTTCCAAAATGTCAATAGGTTATATTGCAGCTGTGCCAACCTCTTAATACCGAGAGATAAAGCTTCATTTTCCTGGACTGCTGTTATTTTTTTCAGTTAATGAGTTTCTTTGTATTATTGGAACTCATTTCTATAAATACATTTTATTTCAATTTTACATGTTAGTTCTTAAGTCTTAAGAAGAATTTGCTAAGAATCCTAACGTATCTTTATCATACACTTCCAGGAAATACATGGACATAGGATTTGTGTTTATCAGGTGCATTCTAAAGTCTGGCATTGTTTTATCCCTTAATTTGAATTGTGTTTTGGGATATAATAAATCCATGGAGAAGAATCTCTGCCCTGTTTCTGTCTTTCATTTCCCTCTCGCCCTCTTTGCTTAATGGATTTTTCTATTGCAGGAGATGTGTCGTGATTACACTTTCTGGATATTTCTGTGCAAAATGCATCTGAGAGGTTCAAGTGCTTCCTGTTCATAAATCTTTTGAGCTGTTGCTTAAAAATGAATAGCAGCTGTTTCTTGTCTCCCATCATTATAAATGAAAGCCAATACAGAATCTTCCATCAGACAGTGGCTTTATACCGGAGCGGAGTTGCTCCATAGCAACCAAAATACACTGTGACAATAACAGTTTCAATATTTTGATGCCAGAAGACTTGAAATTAAAAATATTTTTACAGTTCATCAGTGAGCAGCGCAGTGAGTTTACACAGACAATAGTTGCTTTATCTATTCGTAGATGGCGTAACGCTACATCCCATTCTAGTTAGTGCAGATAATGTTAAGGTATTAATAACTTATAGCACTGTCAATCTATATCGGTGATGGGCAACCCAGACTGGTGAGGTGCCCACCATCTCAATGGACCACAAGACTGTCATAACCAAGATGTTCTCCTGGAATAGAGAAGTTTTGCTACCTGCGCTTGCATAGCTAGAATGTGCAGGGTGTGCCGATTGAACCGTAGCAGCACTTTGATTGGATGCAGAGGGAGCAGGTGGCTTTTATAGTCAATGTTGTGTGTAATCAGCACGCAGCTCACTTCATGTGTGTGTCACTTTAGTAATACTGGTAGGAAAAAAAGACGTGGATAGAAACTAGTGGAATCTGGCAACCCTGTGCATGAGCAATGGCAAACGAAATGTCTTGCGGGCTGCAGACAGACCCCTGATGGGCCAGAGGTTTCCCACCACTGGCCTACAAAGTGCATCCCCAACCTGTGGGGCAGATGCATACCCTGCCCTGAAGGGCTCACAATTACTGAAAAGACCCTGGTGACTAACTGGAGCTACCTTAGACTATTGGGGGCAGAGGCAGATGAGAGTGCCGCAGGACCCCAGGCAGCACAATTTCGCGGGGCCCCCCCTTTCACACGGCGCATGCGCCGTGTCGCCACGCTACATGCGCGGGGCTTCTGCAAGTGCGGGGCCTGGGGCAGCCGCCCTGCCACAAATCTACCACTGATTGGGGGCAAAACGACCCAGTCAACCCAATGGGAAGAAATCTACATTTTGGAAAGCTGCAAGTGATGGGGAAAGGCCTAACTTTTTGGGTGCCCAACTGAAGGCACCTTTTTAAACTGCCTGGTTTTCAGCCCATGCGGAGCCCCGGCCTTTTGAAAGCCACGCTCCTAGGTGGGCATCTGAAAAGTAGGGTTGCCAGATGGCTTCAGCAAAAATACCGGACACACTTGACATTACATTACAATCTACGTTACATCTTATTCAGAAAATGCTGGATATTTATATTTTCTCATTTAGATTTTTTCAATTTGTTTCCCAACAGAAAGCTCAAATAATGGACTGTCCAGTTCAAAACCGGACACCTGGCAACCCTACTGAAAAGCAGAGGCATCAAAAATCTCCCAGTTGATTTTTGAACATTTGTTTCAGTCTATCCCAGGCTCCAACAGACTAGCTCACTTCCCTAGTTCTTCTGTTATGGGAACTTTTCCTTATTCACTTTCTCCATACCTATCATGATTTCATAGACTTCTATCATATACCGCCATAGTCTCCTCTTTTCTAAACTGAATATTCCCAGTCTCTTTAATCTCTCTTCATATGGCACCCCTTCCAAACTGTTTTTGAGATTAGGTGACCACTTCTGCACACAGTATTCAAGATGTAGGTGCTCCATTGATTTATATAGAGACAATAAGGTTGTCTTATTCTCAATACATTTTTAATGATTCCTAACATTCTGTTTGCCTTTTTGACTGCTGCTGCACATTGAGTAGATGTTTTCAGAGAACTATCCAAAATGACTCCAAAATCATCATCTTGAATGGTTATAGCTAAATTAGCCTACATCTAAACCTCATGCTTCTTTCGGAAGAAGCTTTTCTGAAAGAAATCTTCCAAAAAAAGTCTTCCGAAAGAGAGTGTACACATGGCAAAAGCGCATCAAAAAAGCGATCTGCTTTTTTAAAAGATAGCATCCATTCAGTGTGGACACTATCTTGAATTTCAGCTGTGATTACTATGGATGGAATGGCCACAAGGGCACCTGTGCTTTTTCCTCTTTCCTCTTCTTTTGAAAGAACTCCTTCTTCTCCGTCCACATATGCCTTTTTCCGAAAGAGCTCTTTCGGAAAAAGGCTGCTTCCTTGTAGAAAGAAGATTACCGACACCGGAAAAACTCCTCTGTTCTTTCGTTTTACTTTTGGAAAAACACAATTGCAGTGTGGACGTAACTCAGGTTTTATTGGAAAAATGACCATTTTCCCGACAAAACTCCGTAGTGTAGACATACTCTTGCAGTAGAGGCTAACTTATTTTTTTAATTGTTACATTACTTTGAGACAAGGGTTTCTTCTATAACATTTAGGTTGAACAACATGGGTGAAATCGTAGCTCCATTGAAGTCAAAGTGAATATCAAAGTGTTTTGTTACATGACTATGTAAAGGCACTTATTCTTCAAAGTTAATGAATTCAGTATCTTTCAGAAGTGCTAAAGTCACATGAGAAATTTTAAATAGTTGGGAGATGTGTTCATGTTTTACATAGCTATGTATTAATTATAATAGAGGAGGGGAATTCCATAATACACCCATCTATTGCAGGCTGGCAACTATTTATCGAGTGTGTTGCTTTCACAGAGCTATTAATCAGGAGCTGCTTTTTAATAAAATATTGTTTAATATTGGGAGTAATCTGCTTTAGGTACGTCTTCTGAACAAGCCTTTAATAAAACGTTCTTTTTCATAATCTGAAATAAAATGCTTCTGTAGTATATGGCTAATTGATGACATCTGTCACATAGTTGTTAATCCTCTAATAGGCTTGTAATAAGAGGTTATAATTTAATTAATATTTAGTAAACTGCTTCTTATGAATCAAAATTAATTATGATATTTTATACTGGAATTTCCCAAGAAACGTATATAGGAATTAGTTGCTGAATTCCTATTGAAATGTAATGGGAATTTGGTGTCCAACTTATGTAGGGGCCTTTGAAATCTCAACCTTACTTGAAGGGGACATTTTCCTAAATGAATAAATGGGTGCTAGCAGCCAAACTCTCATTGTTTCTTGAATAGTAATAGAGAGGTTCCTGTGTTAGTCTGATCTTGCTAAAACAAAAGGAAAATCTATGTAGCACTTTAAAGACTAACAAGATGGTTAAATAGGCGATGAGCTTTCGTGGGCCAGACCCACTTCCTCAGATCATATTCTGGAAGAGAATTGGCATGACCATATATACCAAAGGAATACAATGAAAAAAGCGAGCACATTATTAAACTGATAAATCAGATTTAGTACAGAAGGTGGGGTGAGGGAGAGGGAGGGAGGGAATAACTATTTATGAATCAATGAATGGCTAATCAGGGGTGATAAGTGGGAAAGCTATCTTTGTAATCTTTAAGGTAATTAGCATCTTTGTTAATACCCATTCGTAAAGTGTCAAATTTAAGCATGAAAGAAAGTTCTGAAGTTTCCCTCTGTAATCTGGTGTTAAAGTCTCTTTAAAGTAAGATGCATGTAGTAAGGTCGTTAAGACTATCTCCAGGTAAGTTGAAATGAAAAGCAACTGGTTTTTCCTTGTGAAGATATCTGATCTGTGGGCATTAATTCTTTGGCGAAGTGTCTGAGAAGTCTGTCCAAGATACATAGCAGAAGGACACTGTTGGCACATGATGTCATAAATTATATTTCTGAATGAACAGGAATATGTGTTCTTGAACATATAACTGACATGGTTAGGTCCAGTGCTGGTGTCACCAGAGTAAATATGTGGACAAAGTTGGCAACGGGGTTTGTTGCAAGGGAAAGTTCCTGGGCTGGTATTAGTGTGGTATGTCCTGTGGTGGTTGGTAAGAATCTTCCTGAAGTTACGTGGTTGTCTATAGGAGACT